GCGGACCACGGCCCTACACACCGCTGACGAGCTCAGTCGGTGGACCGTGGCCCTCTTTGTGGACTGCAGCCCTACACACCGCTGACGAGCTCAGTCAGTGGACTGCAGCTCATGGACCCCAGCCCTACACACCGCTGACGAGCTCAGTCGGTGGACTGTAGCCCATGTAAAGATCCTACCTTTAAGAAAAAGACAACTAAGATGGAACCAAAAACACAAGATGAACTTAGATCTTACCCTCCTAGATGCCCAAATAGGTGAAAGGTTGAATCTTGGAAGCAAATCTTGGAATCTTGACAAGGGTCTCAACTTGGCTTGGAAAATAAGCTACACTTCTTTTCTAGAGAGAAGGTAGAACTAATTTCTAAGAATTGTAGGGAATGAAATGAAGAAGTCTTCTAGGTTAGGTTACAATACTAACTCTTGGTGAAAAGACAAGGATACCCTTACTAACCCTTAGAAAGTGTAAGGAACAAGGGAACTCCCCTCAAAGCACAAGGTACAACACAACTTAAAGGTTGACTAGTCAAATACGAGTCCTTGAGTATTAAAAATCAGGATTTTAGGAATTAGTTCCTCAAATAAAATAGGATTAATTACTCAATTAATCCATGGATTGAATGTGGATTTTTGGGGTGTCACAATTAATCCATTAATTGAATTTGGATTTCGGGGTGTCACACCGTCGGGACACCACGGGGGTCGGGGAACATCAAACGGGGAAGGCAACATCCCAAGGTGGGAAAAAACCCAGCGGGTGGCCGGCGAGTCCACCCACCGGCAACAAGCCTCCGGGCAGCGGGTGCTCGGCGGGCAGTCGTCTGCCAGCTGGCTGCCCGCTGCCGGTGATGCCAAATTGGGCAGCGGGTCCCCCTACCCCCACTGACTGTTTTTCAATATTTTGGTCCCTGGATCTTTCGTGGAACCCGAAACCATGTTTAGATACTTTTAAACACAAACGACGACACCACGTAGTCAAATAATGGATCAAAACCCAAGACTCATATTGATCATACCCTAACATGACTTCTAAACATAAATAACACCCGAACATGCGAAATCCCACCCAAATATATCAAAAATATCGTAATACGAAATTCCCAATTCAACCTAGGGCTCTAACCATATTCAAGTCATCAAAATCATTGTTTATCTTTAAAATCAAGAACATCAAGATTTATCAAGAACATCACGAAATCATCAAGATTCTCTTATAATCATCAAGATCATATCATCATCATCATAAATGATTTATCAAGACACAAGCATAGAGAAGGAGCCAAAGAAGAAGATTTATAGCAAAGAAAATAGGTTTTGTTGAGACATGGGTTACCTCTTAGCCTTAATTTGATTCCTTGGCTATTAAGGTTCTTTCTCTAAGATCTCTTCTTCTTGATTTCTCCTACGTTGGTGATAAGAGAATTCTTGGGAATTCTTGTGTGGTGATATCTATTGTGGTGTCAATTCTAGGTGCCTCCTATGTCCCTATTTATAAGTCTAAGTTTCCTAATTTGGGTCTGAATGATATGGGTTTGCTAATTCTATTTCTTATAGGACTATGGGTTTGGTTTAGGGATAAGGGTCCATGGTCTATGGTGGACCCTTCCTAGTTAATTAATGGAAATTAATTCTCTTTTTAGGGTAAGTAATTAAATAATTAGTTTGGGTTAGAGGTTGTAGCACGGGGTGTTACACGAATCTTGTGAAGAAATGGAATCCTCTGTTGGCTCATCCTATCCCACTCTCTCTGCAACGAAGAAGGAAACCCGCATGAACAAAGGCGAAACCAGTAAGACAAAGAAGGGAAAAGAGAAGAAGTAGTCATCTCTTTGCTATAATTTCTCTATGTTCTCGAATAATCCTCCCTTGTCCAAGAATGTATGGTCGTTGGTTCTCTGTTCTCAGCAAATGTTATGAATGAAATAAATCTTTACTTGATTTATTTTATCTTATTGAGAATCACATCATAACTGATGCACAAGAAATCTCGTGACTGTTACACCTTCCTCATGGTCATCATTAACCTACGCGCTAATGGTCAAAGCCGTAATAAATGGTTCTAAGAATAACGCAGAGATATTAAATGGTCATTCAATGCTCACATCTCTCAATGCTAAACATCAGCTATAAAAGGGCATGAGTTGTGAACACAAATCTCACACAAACACATCTCCGAAATAGTTTGATTATGGCACCTTGAAGGCCAGTCACACGTCTACAAACCAAGCAGCAGAAAGAAGCTGCTCAAAAGCTAAGAAAGGAACAAGGAGATTTCTACCCAGGAAACAATGAGCATGCCCCTCTAGTTCTCTCCTCTGATGAGGATCAGCCTGAAAAAGATGTTACACCTCTAACCTCTGAAGATGAAGAAAATCCCATTGCTGATCTTCATGAAGCTCCATTACCTATCGAAGGAGGACGAGACTTTCCCACTGCTGAAAATTGGAAAAATCCCCTTGCTGACCGTGACTATCTCATATACTTAAGCACTAATACCAGTGAATCTGACTTTGGTAGTGAAGCTAAGGCAGCAACCACTCCCTCTGGATCTAAGACTGTCAAGAACGCAAAATGGTTTCTCAAGGAGTTAGGCAAAATGATGTCGATGAAGGGAATGGAGATCAAGGATGTGAAGGGAAAATCGAAAAAATGAATTTTCTAGTTTATTATCTCCTATGTACTCCTATCTGATGTTTCCCTCTGATCATCATAAATAAACGTCTTTTATTATCAAATACCGAAACTTTATTTGGTTCAACACGAAATGATGCAAGACGAAATGATAACACGAGAGAAGTAGATCTTTATTTGATTTACTTTATCTTTCAAACATGCTTTGTCACATCTTTCGTCAGGAATCTTCCTAAGCATTGGAACTCGATATCTCTCAGTGTTTGGTCTTTCACACAAGGAATATGTGTCATACCTCGGTATGAACAAGAACACTTGGCTATAAAAGACGCATCTTATGTTGGTATGATCACTACATTTCTTGACAATGGATAAAGGTAAGAAAAAGATTTCCTGTACTGTCTCCTTGCCAAAGAAGGACCTGAAAGAAGTTGAAGAGATATTCAAATCTCTTAACTTATCATCTGAGCATGGAGAAAACTCTCATGGTTCGGCTGCTAAGAAGCTCCCTTCGACTCCTCTCCAGAATGTTCGTCCTCCACTCGGCCCATCATCTCCTACAATGGATTCTTTCAAAATTGATCCATCCTATCTGATGTGGATGAACTTCTGTCAAGAATAGATCCAAGAGCTCGAGGACTAGCTGAGAAAGAGGGTGAAGCGAACTTAAAGATGACCCTATCTCATTAAAACCGAGAGATGTCTGTAAAAGTGTTTATGTTCATCTGTGTAATAATTCATCTCTATGTCTTGTATGCTATATTTTTCTACAAATGAATCATGGTCACAAAATCGTATTACCCGAGACTTGTGAAAGTCTTTATTTATCTTTCGTGACATCTTACATGTCTCTTAGACAATAAATGCTTTGACGGTTACCTAGAATCGGGAAATACTCCCTAACCGTTCGATGAAGTTGGTAGTGGTAATCGTGTGGCTGCAAAACTCGGTCCACTACCCCATGCTCCTTTGTCAGTTAATACGACAATCATTTAATGCGAATGTCTTGCACTCAAGTGCTTTTCTCTCTCACATTTAATGCGGAATGATCAAAATTGATCAGATACTGGGCTTATCAGACCCACTCGCCATATCAGTTAGCCGCATTGGTCGAATGGGAAAAGACCCACCTATTCAAATTCAAATAAAGGCCGGGTTACTCGGTTGATCTTCTTCGCCCATTAGAAAACCCTTTGCAAAATCCATTCTTTTATAACCTAAACCACCATCTTCCCTCCCTCCAAGTCTCAAAACCCTTTCAGAGATCATCCTATTTTCTCCCAAGCTGTGAAACCCAGAATACCCATATTTCTATCTCTGAAGCAATGGCAAAATCTTCCAAAGTACCAACCTCCGACGCTGAACAGGAAACTCCATTTACAATGGTGATACCCAGCTTCCCAACGTCTGATATCAACTTCATAGAGTCCAAATTTACATTCCTCATTAGTGGCAATATGTGGGACACTCATGGTTTTCTGGAGTATGTCCTTGACCGGTCGTTTGGAGAAACTGTGATTCACCTTCTTAAAGAGAGCGGGCTGTACAACTTTGTAACTCATCTATACATGTATTGGTTTCTAGTGGATGTCGCTCAATTTTATCTGAACACAAAAGTCTCTACTGATGGATTTGAAATAACCTTGGAAGTCAATCACACCGCCGTAGTTCTGACTGGTGATGACCTGAAGAAAGCCTTTGGCTTCCCAGATCGGGATGAAACATACCACTCAGATTTCACCAGTTACTACTATGAAAAGCTTTCCTTCTGTGAAAAGATCAAGAACAAGCAAGGACCAACCGAGATCACCTGGCCTTTAAAGAAGAAATGGTTACGTCTAGACTACGAGTTTACAGTTGACATTTTCATCAAAATCGTAGAACACAAGACCTCGGGGACAAACGATGTTACCAAGGACAAGTTGGAGATGCTGCATGGCTTTCTTGGGAAATACAAAGTGGACGGGTCGAAAGTTTTCTTTAATCAACTTCGCCACGTCATTACAAATGGTCGATCTTCTCCAGGGAACATTACCAAGAAAATTGGATTTGGCTTCCTGGTCAGCCATCTTCTCGCCACAAAGAAAGTGCCTCTACGCGCAGGAGTGTCGCCTGGACGAAAAGTATGTCATATGAAATCCAAACTCTCTGGATATGACAAACGAAAAGCACAAGAACTTGGACTGCCCCTAGATTCGGTGAAAGAGGAACGAAGGTCCAAGAGAACCAAGGACACTGATGATGACCTGCACAAGGCCAAACGTCCGAAGAAAGACAAAGCCTCCTCTGCACCAGAAACGAAGGTAACGTCTGCTGAATAGCCCAAACCAGAGACGAAAGTTCCAACTGCAGCTCAAACCGAAACTGAGATGAAAAATCCATTATCAATCCAACCTGTCTCTAAGCCCATAGAACCAGAATCCACAACGAAAGAAGATCTTCAGAAGACTCCAGACATTTCATCACCAGAGTTAGTTATCATTGATGACTCTTCTGAAGGAGAAGATGTTGCACTCACCAGCCCTGTTCAAATGTCAAAAAGCCACTTTCGGCCTACCATTGCTAAAGCAAATGAAATCATAGCGAAACTGGCTCCCCCTCCTGTGTCAATGTTGAGATCTAAACTTAAGAAGAAGTCTGCATCTTCTCAGGGGGAAGAAAAGAAACAAGATTCATCTCAAAAAGTCTCTAAGAAGAGAAAGAAGAGATCAAAGAGCTCTAAAAGTTTGAAGAAATCTCCCTTACCACAAGAACCCATCCAGGCAGAGCAACTCAACACGAGTTTGACACAAGAACCTGCTACGATGGATAAGGGTGCCCATGAATCTCAAGTTCTGAATGACCACTTAAGTCTCCCACAAGAACCTGGCTTGCCAGAAGAGACGAAACAAGTGGTCACTGATCCAATCGTTTCATCCACACCAGCTGTTAAAACAACCCTCCCACAAGAACCTACCAGAGCAGAGCAGATGGTTTCCATTTTGACACAAGAACCTGTCAGGGTAGATGAGGATGAATGGGCACAACCTTCGGGTCACTTAAGTCTCCCACAAGAACTTGGTCAACCAGCTGAGATGAAAGAAGTGACTCCACAGATTGAATCAGAATCGAAAAATTCTCAACCTGAGCATACAATCTTGCAAGAACCAGATATACCTGAGAACTCTCGAGCAGTTGTACCCGTACCTGAAGCTGTACCAATTCCTCCATCAAAAGATCTGCTACTTCAACAATCAATTGAGAAGGATTTTAACAGAGTCATGCAATGGCAAAAATGGCGAACTTCTCCTTTACAGTCTTTCCTTGAAACATTTGATGAGATGAAGGATGAAGAAGATTTCGCTCTAGAGTGGATTGGCACAAAAGACGTCTACAACGCACTCCATCTTGAAACCATTAACCGTGTATACTCTTACAAGGTGACCCATCGCACATTTGGGAAGGACAAAGCCCCTGTTTGCAATGAGCTAAATAAGCCGCTGTTGGACCCAGTATTTGAAGAAGAAATGAAAGAATTCAGATATGCTCTTCTTTTGTCTAAAGTCAAGACGGAATTAGAACGAACTCATCAGAATGATCCTGCTTGTAATGTCAGTGGATCCAAAGATGACGAAGGGAAGGAGATTGAAGATGTGGACGAAAGATCTTCTGACCACGAAAGAAGTGAGGAGGACTCTAATGCTAATGGAAATAATGGCGACAATGATAACAATGCCAATGCTGAAGGCCAAGATAATGAAGAAGACACTGAAAACGAAAAGAACAATGACGAAGATACTGAGAATGAAGAAACCGATGAAGAAGATGTTGATAATGAAGAGAATGAGGATGATGATGAAGACGATGAAGAAAGGAAAGATGATGATGATGATGATGGTGATGATGATTCAGACAACAATGATGACGATGGCGGAAATTCGGACTATGATAGTGAATCTCCTATCCTCGGCAATACCATACACACCCGAAAGATCCCCCGCACCTCGATCATCTCCACCTAAGACCAATTTGTCTCGTGATCCGTTTCAATCCATGCCTCCACCAAGACAAAGAGAAGCAGTTGAAAATCCAGCTCGTGATGACAACAAGGATGCATCACCTCGTGATGAAAACCTAGAAGCATCACCTCAAGCACAACACTTTACATTTGAACATAGAAGTGCTCTTCGCACACCTATGCGTCAATATCCCGATCAAGAGCCAAGCATCAAGTATCTTAGCCCAGAGCACATCATGCATCAAGTGTTGAATGCATTCTTTAATGCTAAACTCATTCATAAACAATATTTGGTTCATCGAGAAAAATACAGCTGAAACATAGCAGATCTTTCTGCCAAAGTGGACAATCTGATGCAAACCATGTCTCATCATCAACCGAACCCCTCCATCTCAGATACTCAAGACAAGCTCACACAAAAACTCCAACAACAACGCACTATTCTTGACAAAATTGCTAAGGAACAACATGCTCTCAAACACTCCCATTTCAGCCTCAATGAACGAGGTGATCTTGCATGTACAAAGATTGACTTAGGACATGACAACATTTTTCAAATGGCAGATTATCAGCTCACTATGCTCGAGTATGTCAAAGATGTGCTAAATGCAGTTAAGAGTCTAACCAGATTTTGTGATGATGGTGATACCAATGTAACTTAGAAGTAGACCCCTAACTTTTTGTCTTTTATTCTATTACCTTCGTTATAGATGAAAGGTACCATAACTCACTATGTAATTCGTGTTAAGATAGTCAAACACACGAAACCGAGTTATGATATCTTAAGTTAGGTATTGTCGACCGAATGAAGAATTTATGAAGCTGACCACGAAAGAACATATGATCTTCTTCAACCGAAAGCAGAAGCCGAAAGAAGCCTTCTAGACTGGAGAATTTTTAATTCAAGATATGACCGTCAAGACAATTCATCTTCTCTCAACTCAAGAAGAATGTTATCAAATGTCTCATCTGAAGATTATCCTAGAAATAAGCTTTCCTAAGACTGAGAGCACACTTATCAAGGTGCATTAAAAGCCAAGGTACTACTTTTCAGAGCTAGAAGACAAAATAAGCAGGAGTGCTTCTCTTCAACGTCTATATAGTACAACTGCATTTAATGAAGCAATAAATGCACAAGGCTCTCCAGTCTTTACCCACTGGTTCATAGGTTTGAAATGCCATCTCCCTCCAACGGATGGATTATTTCTCATCTATAAATATCCATTCTCTCCATGATAGAAGGTGCTGGTTTTTAGAACAATCGAATACTCATACTCAAAAGCTCCTTATACAAAGTTCACTCTCTCAATCTTTTGAAATTTAGTGATTCAAGGTGTGAAGTTTGCAAGTAGACATATCTGATCTCATTCACTTAGCCTTGAAGAAGTCTTGCAATCATGTATACATTGATCATCCATCAATTCACCAGCCAGTCAAGACTTCAGCAAGTTGGAGAACCTCGAAGATTATTTTTATCCAACCCTCAACTCTGAAGAAGAAGTTGATAGAGGAGGAGTAAACTCTAGGAGTTGAAAAACCTTCAAGTAGTTGTCCGGCTTAGTGATCAAGGAAGCTAACTTGGTGTAATTTGTACTAGGAGTGATAGTGCAAACCTTTCACAAGTTGTGAAAGAAGAGTGGCGAAGGCACAATTGGCCGAACCACGATAAAAATCTCTTGTCTCTCTCTCTTTACTCACAATGAGTGCGGTTCATATTCCTGGCTGCGGTCAGATGATCACTTTTGGGCTGCGGTCCACTGTTTGGTTGCGATCAAACATTATGATGAGTTGCGGTTCATCGGTCGGTTGCGATCGATCCCTTCGTGTTGCGATACGAGGCAGGGTGCTGCGGGGCCGTGTCAGAGCTATATGCGCTGACCCTCATGTATGGGCATGCGATTGGTCCTGTGGCGCCACCAAAGTCTGCTTGTGTGTTGAGATACGAATTGAATGATGATATGAATGAGATGAAGTGAATCTGTGACCGTAGGATATATGCTAGTATCTTTATATGCTTGGTTATAACTGTTGAATGTGCTTATCCCTATCTGTCGAGTCTATTCCGGTTTTAAAACTAGAGTTTCCTAGGATATATCCTCCTGCTTTAAAATGGTTTTTCTTATATCTATATATATATATCTATATATATATATATATATATATATATATATATATATATATATATATATATATATATATATATATACTTATACGGTATTTCAACGCGTTAGAGTGGGTTACCAGCATTTCTCGCTGAACAGATATATTTGGCTTTCAGGCACAGTCAAGTAGACACCGGAGCACGCTAGAGACCTGAAGCGTAGAGTAGCTAGTTTCCCTTTCTCGGCCTGTGTGCCATGCTTATGTACTGACTTTACTTTGACGATTTTAGTTAGTTTGCCTGTGCACCTGAGCTCTCTAACTCAGGTGTGGCATAGCACCCCGTACACTTATGCTTACTGTGACACCCGGTAATTTTAAGTAAAAATATAATTTTGAGAAAATATTATTTAATTCACCCTTAAAATATTTTCGTATGTTGCCAAAAGAATTTTTGAAAATTATTCCTAGAAAAATTAAATTGTTATATTTATCTACTATTATGCCTAGGGAAAGTCTTATATTCTTTTTCGTATATATAAATATATATATATAATTTGATAAGTTGTAAACTAAGAGATGAATTGGTGTGGTGGTTTGAAACTTGTGTGTTAAGCTTGTGGTTTAAAGTTCTATTCTTACAAGCTGCAAATTGATTGTTTTGTTTTGAGTTCAGCAGAGCAAAGGAAGAGTTGTCCAAGTATTCGGAAAAAGAAAATAATTTAAATCAAAAGGTGATTAGCGGTTATAATGAATGGATTAGGGGTGATTAGCAGTTATAATGAAGTGATTAGCATTATAATGAATAATAATTGGGTCAACAGATTATTATAAGAATGGGAGAAAGAGAGAAAAGAAAGGACGAAGGGAAAAGAAAGAAAGAGAGAAAAGAAAGAAGAAGGATGGGAGAAAGAGAGAAAAGAAAGGACGAAGGGAAAAGAAAGAAAGAGAGAAAAGAAAGAAGAAGGATAGGGGATAGGAGATGGAGGTTGTGCAGTTTATAGAGTTGCTAGGATCATCATTTTGGTAAGATTTTATGTTCACCAAAAATTATCTTTTTCCCGTATATATTTCATGTTGTGAGAATATGAGTATGATATCCATGATTATATGTACATAAACTATTTGCTTTAAAAATCGCGAACTATGTGTTGTATGATGTGAGTTGTAATGTTCATGTGATCACAAGTGCATTGTAATGTTGTGAGTGGTGATTCTCGAAGTATCGAGAATGGGTTTTGACGTGTCAAACCCGTGTGTTGTATAAATGCTTGGCTTGGAATTTTTGATATTTATATATAAAAAAATGATCATATGTGATCAGTTTGAAAAAGGTGTTATTTTGACAAACTACACCATTTATATATGTGGTGAAATCTTATTATTATTCCACGTTCATATTATTAAAGTTTGGAAAAGAAACATTTTGACATGAAAGTATATATATATATATATATATACATATATATTTTAGTCTTGGAGGAGCGTGATATTTGGTGTTGGTGTGAGCCGGAAAACTCACAACCAACTGATTGGAAATTTTGGTCATTTTACCGGAGTGAGCCGGGAGAACTCACAAAAATATTTTCATTATACCGGAGTGAGCCGGAAGAACTCACAAGTTTGAAATTTGTCTCAGATATGGAAACCGGAGTGAGCCGGTAGAACTCACATTGGAAGTCTAAAATTATTTTCATGATTGGCTTATGATGCCTTTTGGTGGTTATGTTGAGAGCTTAAAGACTCTTCACTTGGTATCTACTCCTCCTTGATAAATACGTTATATTTTGGAAAAAATGGCGTGGAAGGTTTTGGAAAATGATTATTTACTAAGTAATACTTGGAAAGTCTCTACTATGTTAATTGTACAAAAGTATATGTATATAGTTTGCGAAAGTATAAGAATTGACGGTAATAACGTTACCGGTAAATAATAATATAATAATGCTAAAAGAGGGTAACAATAGCTGTATTGTCTTTTGTCTCAATATAGAAAGTATAGTCTGCCATTGCTAGCTGAGGGGAGCCCCATTTATACTTAGGGTCCTAATGGTAACAACATGGGATATAAATGGGGAGCCTAGCCTTTAACTCTCTCTCATCAATGGGGACTTCAATGCTGGCTTCAATGGTAGTAAAGTGGCACCTGTTGGAATTCCTGACCGTTGGAGTTCTGCCCGTTGGGTTCCCATGTCATGCTGAGTCAATGCCCATTTGTGATCCGGGTCGGGTGCCAGCCCTATTATCCTGTCACCAGTCCCCCCTACTCATGAGTCAATGGATGTGTTTGAGTTGACTTGGGAGTAAAGCTGAATCTATTTTGATCTTGTGTAGAATTCTTGATTTAGGATAGTTTATTTGATCTTGTGTAGAATCCTGCTTGATTTAGGATATTTGGATTTGTTTTCCAAATCCCTAACTTGCCTTCCAAATCCCTGATTTGTGCTTTCCCAATCCTTTCCTGCTTCACTTAACTTTTTTATCTCAAGCTCCTCTCCAATATAAACCCCTGTCTCTCTAAGCAATTTGAGAGCACTTCTTCAACAACTTTCTGCCACAGTTCTGTAAGTCTTCGCTGTCATTATTATTTTGCAATTTACTTTACAACGTATTTATGCATGTATGAATATACTTGCTCCCCCTTTTTTTTTTTTTTTGATCGGGCCGAGGAGCTGCCTCAGCCTGTGGCCGAGGCGTCGCCTCAGCCACTAGGCCGAGGCGTCGCCTCAGCCACTAGGCCGAGGCGTGTGCCTTGGCCGGGGGCCGAAGCGTGCGCCTCGGTCACTTGGCCGAGGCGCGGCCTCGACCAGGGGCCGAGGTGTGTGCCTCGGCCCCTTTTTCTTTTTTTTTTTGATTGGGCCGAGGCGCGGCCTCGACCAGGGGCCGAGGTTTGTGCCTCGGCCTTTTTTTTTTTTTTTTTTTTTTTTTTCAAATCGGGGCCGAGGCGCTGCCTCGACCAGGGGCCGAGGCGTGTGCCTCGGCCACTTGGCCGAGGCGCGGCCTCGACCAGGGGCCGAGGCGTGTGCCTTGGCCACTTGGCCGAGGCGCGGCCTCGACCAGGGGCTGAGGCGCGGCCTCAGCCATTTTATTTTATTTTATTATATTTTTATTTTATTTTATTTTTTTTCGATCGGGGCCCGGGCGCTGCCTCGGCCTGTGGCCGAGGCGTGTGCCTCGGCCACTTGGCCGAGGCGCGGCCTCGACCACTTGGCCGAGG